TTTACTATTCCAGTATGATTCACTTACTAAAGTTGAATTTGGTAGAACTGAACTCTGATCTCTGAAAAGCAAAAATGATCCGAGTGTGGCTCTGGACTCTTAGTCAGAATTTGCTTTTTAACTTTTTTGTACCTCTGAGTGCATTTGAACTGTTTGAATATCTGAATGTTGAAATACCTGAAAATGGACTGTTTTACAAATTTACCCTGTCAAAAATCAAAATGTATTGGTTTAATTTTAATAAGGGCCTCTTTGGGAGGGCAGATCTGAAGATTCAGCTAAGCTTGTTCAGCTGCTTTGAAGCACTCTGGATAAGCTATTCAAAGAGGTTGAAGCAGACATCCCTTCAAATGACTGACTAATAGCCAATTTGAGCTCTCCAGGTTTTTCACCAAACATAGCTTATGGGTTGTCCATGTGTGGATCACCATGGAAAGCCAGAAGCCACTATGCTTCAGCCCTCCCAAATGGGTACTAAATCTAAATCTTGTAACCATAGTTTTCAAGGTACCAAGGCAAGGCTAAGTGATAGGGGGGGGGGGGCGTTGTCACCTAGGCATTTAGGTGATGGATTTTTTTAACTAAAAACATGTATCCTAGGGTAGTTCCCTAGGTTCCATAATCATATTTCCTTAATAAATATCCATAATTTTCAGAAGAAAAGTATACACTTCATGTTAAAATATAGAAAATCAACATATTCCAACTTCATGAGTAGAAAAAGAAGAAAGAAAAGAAAATTCAAAAAATATAGGGACTGACCCCTATTTCTGCTATAGGAAAAGAAGAAAAGAAAAAGTGGAAGAAGAAGAAGAAGCAATTAGTATATAAACACACAAAATTAGTAAAGAAAAAGAAGAAAATGTGTTGATTGGACAACATTTTAAGTTCTTCCTTACTTATTTGGTTCAGGTTTTGTAGTCTTTGAGGGTTCAATACAGAATTTAGCAATGTTTGTGTTGATTAAACCCTAGCAAATAAGAAAATAATAAAAGAAATTAGTACATAAACACACAAAGTGAATATTTTAGTTTTAAAATGTCTATTTTATAATTGTAACCTCAAAAAATTAAGGACTTAAAATTGTCTAATCAACACATTATATTCTTCTACTTTTCTTTTCTTCTTTTCCTATAACAAAATAGGGGTTCAGCCCCCAATATTTTTTGAATTTTCATTTGTTTCTTCTTTTTCTCATGAATATGTTGATTTTCTATACTTAAACATGAAGTTTATACTTTTCTTATGAAAAATATGCATAGTTATTAAGGAAATATGGTTGTGGAACCTAGGGAACTACCCTAGGATTAMAAAATCCATCATCTAGGTGACTACACGACAAGGTGCCCCCTATCACCTAGCCTCACCTTGGCACCTTGAAAACTATGATGCTCTCCAATAAACAAAAGCAAAGAGACACATTTGTAGGGTTGATTATATCTGTCCAACCCTGCATTGCCCGGCCTGGACAATCCAGGAAATTTAATATAAATAATATAATATAACATAGATAATATATGAATTATATAAATAACACTTATAGAATATAAAAATATTCAGGGTATATCTATGACACTGGAAATGTTTGATACTAGAAGAGCTTTGACCAATCAAAACTCTTTGTAAATTTTGATGAATACTACCTGATTGGTTGCCACTTTTATGATACCAGTTGATCAGTTATAAGCAAGGCATAAAGTATCGATACGCTCAATATGCATGGGCAAGTGTATCGGGTATTTCGATACTTCATAACTGTTTTTCTGTTTTTCTTTTCAAAATTGTTTTAGGAGGGTCGGTTTTAGGCTTGCCTATCCCCTGAAAATGACCAAATTCCAAAATACCCCTTATTTGGGATTTTAGGGAGCTACTGGTATGAAATGATACACCCAATAYGGGGTGTATAGTATTGAAATTTTGAACCTTGATTATAAGTTTTCTGGTATCATATATATTCTATAATTTTAARTATAAACTTAGATTCAAATTTAGGTTTTTTTTTAAATATAACTTTATTGATTATACAGGCATCCTAGATGCCTAGCCTAACTCAACCCATGATCATCCTTGGACACTTGAGGGAAAGCTCAGGTTTTGTTACTCTAAAAATTAAATAAAAAATTGTGCAATTAGCCATTTGAGGGAAAAATTGTAACTCTAAAAATTAAATTAAAAAAAGAGGGGCAACAAATTGAAAGAATGGTGCAGTTAGACATATTTTGATTCATGTAATATATGTATATATTTGACATAATAAAAATTTAGTTAAACTAGCTGATAAAGCTCTTACCTCGACAGGAACATCGTCGTCTACATGCCCTTCCAAAATTAGCATCTTTTGCAATGATACTGCAGCAGTCTGGAGTACATGCTTTACTACCTCTCTTGGTCGAAACTTTGTTGCTTCCAACTTCATAACTCCTGAGGGAAAGAAATAGATAAAACTGGATATATTAGTTGCATAACCAAGTGAGATTAAAAATTCGTAGTCAACTTTGAGGAGATCTAATTGTCTAGGTAAAAACATTTTAATCTTAGAAATGTCCTCCTGATAGATCAACTAAGCAGGAGATTTTTACCAAAAAAAAACTAAGCAGAAGATTATTCAAACTYGTCAAATAAGTTCTTGACTAGGATGTTACTTAATGAACAGCTATTAGCTTCAGTTTCATGGATCAACTAATTAGACAGATGTCATTAGACCAACAATTGATACAACACATGCAGTTGAATCTAATTATTAACTAT